CAGACAGATAGGGAGGGAAAAAGAAAAGGAAAAGATTTCCCTCGGCTAATTGCATGAGATACGCGATTGTTTCATGCATATTCAGCAGATCTTCGGGTGGGAATAGCTGATCGCCATTCCTTCGAGGGAGGCTCTTCCTGTTTCTTTCTCTCCCTCTTTCTCTGCCGGGTTTTCTCCTTTCGTCGCGAAAGAACGAAGTACGAATCTCAAGGAGTCCTCTCTCGATAAAGAAACCCGATCATTAAATACAATCGTCCTAAGCCGCGAAGTGCACCACTCGGCGGCAATTAAACGCAACGATCCCGTTCTACTTTTTTTCCACGGCAACCGTTGTTGTAACCGAGATACCATCCAATATACAATCAATCAATTATATATTGTGTATACATTTTCTTTTTATAATACGCGACAGCCCTATATAGGACTGTGAACAAAGAATTTCGCGTAATCATAATTCGGTGTGGGCAAGATCTGGAATGGCAGTCGCGCTCCGCGATCGATAATCGCGATATTAACGCGATTGGTTCGTTCGCCGCGACTTTTTGTCCGTGTGTATGCGCGTAACTTGGACGCAAGCATGTACACCGGCGGCTAATTGATAAACACAACCGTTCGAATAGCCGCGTTATAACGGCACACGTCGACACGGCCGCGGCGCTTTGTCGAAAATCAACGGCGATTCGACGGCTAATTAATACTGTTTTTGATATGCGCCCCACACCTGCTCGTCAATCAGAAAACCATCTATGTTGCGCCACTTCCCCCTCCCCCCTCCCCCTTCCCCTCCGCTCCCTCCCCCACCTGGAAATCTCGCAATTCGCGGACCTCCCTCCTTGCCTGCCTGCCCCTGTCGAACGTGTCACGAATGTCGATGTGGATATTTTTTCGGCAATGATGAATATTAACGCACATTATTGGAGCTTTATCAAAACCCGCGCAAAAAGTGATATCGCTTTATTTTGTACATTGCACGTCCCACATGTTATTTCATTTCAAATAGATTTATTATATAAAAATAACCTTTTTTTTTAAGAAATTAATCTGATGAAAGAATACATGTAATTGATTTAAATTTTATTTTCTCAATGCTATATTGGTGTTAATCTATAAAAAAAAACAATAATCTGTATCTTTTATTCGGTAATTATTAAACAACTCTGATGTTTATATTGCATGCGTATAAATAATTCTGATCATTACTTCATTCTTTGACACAACGGGGAACAAATCGCAGGAATCTGTTAAACACAGCTAAAAAAAAATAGATGAAATTCCGTTTGAACCGATATTTCCATTATCGATCGGCGCGTCAACCTCCGCTTATACAGGGATTCGACAAATTGCCGGCCGCAAGCAATATGGACCGCGCCGCGCGCGCGGCGGACAGTACGATTTGGTAGACGACGAATGACGCGCTCCGGCAGACGTGATGCGATTTCAAACGGCATGGAACTTCCGCGAATACTGCAGATATTTTCTTGGTACGAATATTATCCAGAATCTGCACGCACGCACGCGCACGGATGTGCATATATCCATATCATAATCGGCTTTGCCTCCGAGCGACCCGACAGAAAACGCGTGCGTTGCCCTTTTGCGCGCTCTCACACAAATTACTATTTTTTTTTTTTTACTCCCGATCTCTCCCGCGCGCAATCTAACGATGTTTCGCGAGAGAGACACGTATACACGTGAGGGATGATTCGATTGTGATGGACGGAGACGGACGGACGGACGGACAGACGAGCGAAAAATGCACTTTCAGCTCTTTTTTGAAAAAAGGGATAATCATCGTCGCGCTTCCGGGACGTATCGCGACGAAATATGCGACGCAGGCGCGATTTGTTATTGGGTAGAATTTTTCTATCGGCATGCAGGCTACCTCTGCCTGCCTTGCCCGTACTTCCCGCGCCGATTGCCCAGCCGATGATTGATAACGGAGAAAGCGGGTCACCTATTTTCTATTTTTCTTTCTTTCTTCTTTTAGGCGAACGTTTTACAACGGCTTCAACCCTTTTATTCCGCTCGCGCGCGCTGATTGCGAAAGCGTACCGGCGCCGGGCGCGGGCGCGTGTCGCATACGTTTCGTCCGTGTGTGTTTCTCTCGGGTTTGTCCTTCTTTGGCAAACTCGCGCGGTTCATCGAACGGCGCGTTTCACGGAGAAATCCGTGTGTACCGCGACTTTTAAATAATTCCGCTCTTCTAGGGGAGAAAAAAATCTTTTCGCGACTTAATTGTAACGCGCTTATGCGGAAAACGCGATTCGACACGGCAATAAGGCGAATTAAGAGGATCAATCGCGACATTTTTGCAAATCTTACCCCAATGATTCGCCGGATTGCTGATTCGTATCTCTCTTCCATTGTAGCGCGTATTATTCGGTTCGAAACTCCGGTCGAACTCGATCTCGTATTATACGTAAACATCACTATCGTTTCACGTGACTTTATGATTTAATGCACGCGGCCTCGTTGCCTCTTGAATTTTTCCAACTTTGTTCCAACTATTTTTATTTCCTATTACGCAGCGTTTTTCTACGATGTTTTGTTTACCATGGCGAGTATCTCCTGCGCGAAATCGTTTTTTCAAATATCACGCTCGTGAAATAACACGAGTTTTTCGAGTTTGTATAATGATAGCGCGGTTTTTTAATGTAAAAATATGTTGTGTGAGGGAAAACAAGAGAAAGAGAGTAACTTTTTTATTGTAAAGTAAAATTAAAATTGAGATGACAATAGCTATTGTCATACGGCTTCAAAAACAAATAAGAGAAGAGGGACATCAAGAGGTGATTCTGCACTTCGCGCACTGTCAACAATGTTTAATTCATTTATGTGCCATCAATTTTTCTGATAATGTGGACCTCGTTTTATTTAATATGCTTTCATATATCTTGCACTCGCTACTTATACAAACAAATTACTAGAAACTAGAAAAATTTTAGAAGTAAAGTGGGAAGTCTTATATTTATAATAATTTTAAGTAAACTTTGCCATAAAAGAATTCATTACAGCAATTTTCCCTGATGTCCAATTATGGATGCATTTAATGTTGTAAGAAAAAAGGAAGATTTCCAGATCAAATTCATATTAAAAATATATATTATTTAAGATTTTACCGAAGAATTCCTAAAAAGAATTATGCGGTGTTTTTGAAGAACTCGATAGACGCTTGCAATTTTTTGAGAGCATTTCGTATACGTATATAATTTCAACGCGAAAGGCAGCTATCTTTCTACAATCTCTATCAGAAATTCTATCAGCGCCTGGTGTGCCACGGAATACCGTGTGATGATTGATAGCGAAGAAACTGGGTTAACGGCGGTTCTTTTTTTCTCACGTTTTGTTTCGATTGCCATATCCGTCTTCACGCGTGCAATGCGCCGCAAAATGGACAACTCCGACGAACATCCCTCGGATTTCGAAGAACACTTTGAGGCGCGCCGGAAAAGTGAGAAACATTAAAAGCGAAAACGTGTCTTTTTCGAGGGCGCGTAAAAGGGCGGACACGAACACTCCCTCCTCTCTATTTCGTCGATTCTACTTCGAAACAAAACTTATCGCTCACTTTTTTTAACATTAAACCATTTTTCTTTAATGCTAAATTATTTCGATCGTAATTATTGCAATCTATACATATGTAAATATATATTGTATATATTTACAGATGTATATCTTCTCCTTAGATCCACTGAGAGACAGAGAAAACAAATTTAAGAATTATGCTATCTAAATGAAAAGTTTTAGAGATTTTCTTTAAACATTTATAAAATGAATTAAATTAATGCTTGAACATTTAATTTATTAGTACTAATTCTAGTTTTTGTGTTCTGTATGATTCATTTTCTGATACTTTTCGCAATAAATTCTAATAATAAGAAATCAGATTATATTTCTTAAAGCTTCAGTGCATAACGCGAATAATTTCTATTGTCCTTCATGTAAAAGGTAACATGCCTGATCAAATGTATTAGATTCACGAAGGTATGTTACGCAGTATATCACATACAGATACTAATAATATTCCGAAAGTTAGGCCGATCCCATCGGCGAATCAGAAGAATAACTTTCCAAAAGCGATATTGTCGCATATATCTAAGAGCATGGCACGTGTGTGGAAGCCGGTGATAAAAGTCAAGACGTTCGCGCCCACTCAGTCTGATTGTGAAAACGCTGGTACGTTCGTCCGGGCAAAAAAATCAATCCACTTTCGTCAAGCCGAATTTCTGTCCTGCCTCGTGCGAATTCGGCGCACGCCTCGTTTCCTCTCCATCGAGAGGTGGTGGCTCAACAAGTCGCGCGGCCGCCGCCGGGAAGTCATCGTCACGGCGATGCAAGTAGGCGATGCAGGAAGCAAAACAAGAGACCGTAATCAGGATCACGTTCGCGTCTCTTTCGTCACTTTTCGACTTGATTACGACGCGGCCAATTTATTTCGTAAAAATGGAGATTAATTCGCCAGGATGTTTTGCAATGTCACGTGAAATACATAAATTCGTCAATCTTAAATTTTTGCGAAGAAAGGAGCAAGAGATTCAATATTTTATTTGCTTTACTAAATCCATTTGCGATGCCACAGGACATTATTCTGATGCTGCTCATACTGCGCATGTATCATTTAACAGTCGATTTTTATTAATTTATTATTTAGTGCTCAATTGGAATGCTAAATTTGTTCATTTCGATACGCTATAATTTAAACATTTTCCAATCACTTGTTTTATCAATTTTTTAATAACGATTAAAGAGATTTGCTCTAACATTTTTCTGTTGACTGATTATTGTATTAATACTATTAATTATGCTTTTTCACTCTCATAATGAAAATCTTCCGCAACAATATGTAACGCAATAATAAAACTTGTTTAATTGCAAGTTCATTTTACGTCACGTCATTAAATATCAAATCACTAGCCATCACTTCTTCTTCATCACGTCACGCGATACCGAGGCTCGCGCACGTTCTCCAGACGAAAGTGTACACGTGAAAGATTACTCACCCCCTACCAGAAACAGGAGCAGCAGTAGCAGCAGCAGTAAAAATCGGCGCGTCGTCCTTGTCATCCTCATCATCCTCCTCGCTCTACATCAAACGATCCTGTCTGCCGAGGTGAGGATCCAACGACGTCGCTGTCACTCTCGATTTTCCCGCGGCTATCACGTGGATCCCTCTTCCACTTGCGCGAATATTTCCGCGGAGACGCTCGCGCCCGTGAAACTGATCGATCGGCCGATACTCGATTCCACGCAATTACGATCGCGATGGAAAAATCGCACGAGGACGATGTACGGACCAGTCGGCTGGATGGCGAGAGGGAAAAACAAACGGAGGAAGCTGCGCGGGCGAAGTCTCGCCGTCGACTGGCGCGCGCTTCCGCGTATCCGACCCCTCTGATAACCGGCAACTCTCGGCAACCCTACCGCACGCCCGCCTCCGTGCCTCTCCCCTCCCCGCCTCCGTATCGGGGGCAGGGGCCGAACCCCCCTCACGGTCATCCTCCTCCACGCGCGCTAATTCGCGCTTCGCTTCGCGAATCGCGACCGCCGCGCGCGCGCCCGTTTTGCCGAACGATAACAAATTTTCCGAGAACTCAGCTATATTTTCCGCTTTTCCGTGAGCACACTCTCTTTGGCGCGGGAAATGACCTGAAATGAGCATCAAATGGAATTTTTACCGACGAGAGAGTTAAAGTTTATCAAACAATCGGGCAACGGTTACGCGCAGCTTCTCTCGCTGCCGAATTTTTTTCTCGTTATTTTAGTGCGTTACGTTATCCTACACTAGATATTCGTATAATTTTTGAATATCTGTTTAATATGTTTCTTTGTCGTTCACATATATATTCATAGCGAATCGAGTCGAAATATATGTTAATACATGAGTGAGTTTTTGGAGATTTATCCGAAAATTTAACCGTTTTGATTTCGATGCTTATGCAAGTGACGAAACACAGAAAATTGCGCTTATTCCTGATAATAGAAAATTGCGCGAGAAAATTAGTAAAACATATTATTCCCCTTTATATTCGCCGCATTAAGTGTAACCGTGGTTGATATGTGGAACGTTAATAAATTAATTTTTAAAATTTTTAATTTTAATAAATAGAATATATTAAACTGAAATATAATTAG